GATTTATTCTGCGTTGGATTTCGAGGCTGACATTGTTGTTGATTTTAATACTGGTTCCAAGATAGATGAAATTATCTACGTCTTCGTAGTTCTGACTGTCAAAAGTGACGCTGAAGACAAGTCACGAGAGCGATCCTTTGATGACAGGAGAACAGAACTAGCGGTTGTTGAGACCAATGATATCAATATAATCGCCGTGCGCCAGCAATTGTAGTCTTACAGACTAACATTTAGCATAAAATCATGACGTTGGCAGGAAAGAATATTGAAATTGGCGTTACGTCCAACGATTTGCTTTTGAATAGTTCTGGGCTGAGATTTCTTGGAGAGAGCAATACACGAAGTACGTGTGGATGCTGCAAACCAGAGGTAGCCAGTCTGGCAGAGTTGCTACGGAGGTTAGGTTAGGTTAGGTTAGATTATATTACTAACTATTAGCCTTTCGGCCAAGAGAAGATTATAACTGAAACATCGTTAATTTTAAAAGAGTTAAAATAATTGTCAAATTAATGAAGTCTTAAACAGTTTTCAGTTGTATTTTTGGTTTCTTACAACTTTTTAAAGATTTCTTTATTTTTCTGAGCTCCAGAAACCTTGTCCAATTATTGAAAGTACTCCACATTCAGATAACTTCAATCATTTCCGTTTCAGCCTCCTAGTCTCCTACGCACTTACACAGTTATTTTCTAGCTCAGTCATGCCTTTTCTTTGAAAAACCGAAGCTAAATAAGACATTTCAACTGCGCAGCATTTTGTATCGAATCAAAAAAGTAAAAGTAAACGCGTGCTTGAGCGTTGTCTACAAAAACTAAGCTTCACGATCGATAGCCGTGTGCGCAAATAGAGCAGCAGAGAAGAAGAAAACGAGATGAAAATTATAAATGAAAAAGAAAAAACTGGAAAGACGACTTCGAAACGGAAATGCAATTGCAACAACTGCAATCGATTTCAGGCCGACCATTCAGAAAAACTCACTGACAGCAAAGAGTGGAGGCTAAAATATTGAAGCTGAATACGTAATAACCGTATGGACTGGTTGCTGTTGCAGCATTTCTGCAGCGCCAGTTGTGATTGTGCAGATAAAATAATAGCCAATTAGCTATTGGTGTGCTGCATGTGTATTTAGGTGTAGACATATAGACATACATCGATAGAGGGATCAATTCATAGTTACTTATGTAAGTTAATGTGAGGAGTGCTCGCATATGAAGGTGAATATCTTTATATACTTCGGTGTACACACCTATATGAGTTTATATAAATGCACTTCGGTCAGATGACCAATTGGCCGATTAACCCACATTTAGGCCTGTCTCGTCGGCATTTGCTTTCTGACTCACGTTGTGCCGGTTGGAGACTCAGAACTTGCGGACGGCAGTGATTGAATAGACTTACATATACCATCGACCAAATTCATATGTATGTATGTGTGTATGCACATGTCTGCTGTAACAATGCAAGATTTTGAACTACATATGCCGTTATGTACAGCTATGTACACCTTTCTATTGTGATGCTCTTTCAATAATCGAATTGCCGCCACAGTTGCTTTTCTATTGGAATTTAATTAGCACAAGCTATTGATATTTTCACTCACTCACACGCACACTTCTAGGCCGGATTTTTTACCTGTGCGCGGTTATTAAAAGAAAGAAAAGCAAGAAATCAAAAAGCGTGCAGAAAAAAAAGCGACAACAGAAACGTGACTTCCGGTAAATGGGTGCTGACAGATATTAATAAAAATTGCCAAGGCAAAGGAAATGCACTGAAAGAAAAGCAATTGCAGCTGAAATGGGCACGATTGGCAAATGCAGACTTGCATACGCACATTAATACTTCGCAGACTAACAAGATGGGTACAATAAGTAGTTAGCTTTAGCGCTTGATGACATCACTGTCGCTAGAGAAATTTACTTAAGAGATTATAAAGTGGTCCGATGTCGGACCAGCTTCTTGGTGAGAAAAAAAAACAGGTGCAAAATTGCAGATCGATATCTCAAAAATAAAGGGGCCAGTGTGCATATACAGGGTTTGCCCGGAAAGTAATAGGACTGAATCGATTTAAAAAATTTAATGAACCAATCATTACAATTCTTTAAAAACTTTCAAAATATGCTCCTTCTGCGTCGATGCAGCGCTACCAGCGCGATTCCCAAGCATTGAAGGATCCCCTCTATCATCTCCTCAAATTGCTTGCCTTTCATCGACCTTTTCAGGTAAGGAAACAAAAAAGACCGGTGGCTACAGCTGCGATGTAGGGCGGCTGCGGAAGCGTTGGGATGCCGGCATTGAGCGGTGATTTGTTTCTTCCCTTTCGACAGTCACTTTTTTGTTTCAATGCGAGTCTCTACATTGATTTTAGTTCAATATGATCAATAGTCGGTATGTGCTGAGCCATCTTAGGTGCCCGTAAAACTGCTGCCACGACAGATAACGTGACAAAAGTCCAGGACGGTTACTGCGAGAGACTATCGTATCCGTGAGTCCAGTTTCACCAATATTTGACGCTGTTTATCGCAATCTGAAAGAGGTTATAAGTCGTTTCATGTTCGCCGCCAAAAGATAGTTCTACTGGTAGATACCAAGGTATAATTAAAACAGTGTACCTGACCCGACGAGCGCACTTCAAAGAACTATTAAAGCTGCTGTAGTCGCAAGACGTCTTCTACATGAAATTCCCCGAAGAAGGAGAGACAGTCACAGCGCTCTATTATTGGGTGAAGAAAAAAGTTATATAATTCACACTGTCACAAAGCATCGACCATAACTCATCCGATGCCACAGCCAAATTGCTCAAATTTGGCTACGAATTGCTGCTTCTTTTGCCCTAAATTCCACATTTAGTCTGCTTTTCTGTTAACGCTGTCATGGAGGCTTTCATGATGTTTTCCGGTAAACCTATTTTTTTATGAATTAAGTAGTGGGAACAACGCTGGGTCATGTGAACTAAAAGTAGACTATATCAGAAATTAATTACTATTAATAATTTCTGTTCTGTCGTAATAAATATTTATTGAACCGCCTTCGTACATACATATGTATGTTATACTATATAAAAAACCAACTGTGGTCATCATCACTGATTTCACCTTAAACAAAGATTTACAATTTCAATTCTGCAATTTCAGAAAACTAAATATTAAGATGCGTGATGCTCCTTCTTGGCCTTTCAGATAATAAATATGTATTAATAACTTTATAAGTAAAATGCAAATACGCCTAGTTGTTATTGACAGGTGCCGACAGCAAATGTTTCCGCCGGCATTCACACCATTTAACAACTTGTCAAGAGATCTCAAGCATCTGTTGACTTACATGTTGATTTTGACAAAATACACAGTGATTGAGGAAGATTTTGAACTGCCATTGATTTTGAAATTTTGTTTAATGTGGTGTCAAAAAGGTTATGTAAAAATTCCAAGTACATGCGTATTTAACTTATGCTAATTTGTAAGATTTGACAGAACACTATGTTGCAAACAATAAAACGGCGCGTTTAAGGCAAAATATATACACTCGTACATATATGGTATGTAGTCAAAATGTAAAAACTTGTGGGTCAAATTTGCCATGGAAAATTAGCATTTCTTCGCTTTTTATGTTAAGTTATTTGCAGTCCTATGTATCAAATTATGATAAATCAAGCTTTTGGTTGGCATCTCAACTTTCTCTTTTTTGGTTCTACCCTCTAGCGCCAGAACGTATGACACTTATATTCAAAATAATTTTGGGGAGTTCTGCCGAGTTGATACTTCTTGTTTAGAGCTGAACTACTTAAACACGACTGTGGTGCTTCGTTACAGATGCTGTTTTCCAAGTTGGGCTAGCTTCTTTAGATTAGTATCAGATTTCTTATAAAAATTTAGACGCCTCTTGGTGGTTAATGTTTCTGAGAAGATTTCAGATTTTATTCCGTAGTTCACAATTCATTATACTTCATTATTCATTCATACTTCTCATACAATTCGTCAGCAATTCCTAAATCAAACGATGTTGCAATTGTTTATTACATATCATCCCTCTTCTATATGAACCTAAATGCTATCATAAAAATAGAAACATAATTTTTTTAGGAGCTCAAAACAAAACCTGATTTAGGAATAACTCTATTTTCGTCCTAAGAATTTGCATTATATGTATTTTAGATAATATATTTTACTGGGAACATAATTTGAGTAGTTCAAGATATTCCAAAAAAAGGAAAAATTATATTCGAAAATCTTAACAGAATTGAAAAGATAAAAAAGCATTTAAACATCTCTAAGGAACCGATTCATTTTCAGAGCAGATCACGATATACACAATATACGACCACGACATAAAAAAGAGTCTTTTAATCAGATGTTATTTCAACAGTAAGGGTCAGATTTTATGATATACATTGTGACAAAAAAGTACAGGGAAATTAAAAATAAAACGAAAAATATTTTATTATTCATGAATATTTATTCTGTCTCCTTCAAAGTAATCCCTACCTCATGCAAACGCCCCAATAAGGGTCAAATAGAACACCTTATAGAACGTCTGTCCCTCCAGTTATAATGCTCTCCATGAATGTGGGATCGATATTTGCATGATCAAGCATATGCAAATTGATCTGTTTACGGTTATCTTTTTGAAGAAAATCAGCTTATCGGCACTAGTAAGCAAGAACGCATTGCATACCACAAATATTCACCAAAATCATTTAAACGAACTCGTGAGAGATTTCAAACTCTTCATATCATATCTCTGACATTTGCCTAACGATTTTTAAACACTATATTCTTCATTTTTTTAATATTTTTATCAGTTGAAGAGTTCAAAGTTGGTCCAGAACGAGGCATGTCTTCAACAATCTCTCGACCGTCTTTGCAAACTTGGTGCCACGCTTTCCTTTAATCTTAACTATAACTCACTTCTTGACTCTTATTTTATTTAGATATGAACTATTTTCTAAAGACGACAAGCACCACAAGCCTCAATTTTGACTTTTATTTACTCTTTTTTTCTCATCCTAGCGCCATAGAGGTATATCAGCAAACGGGAGAGACGCTAACCACTAAATTGCAGGCGCAACGGCAAAAACCAGGCGGTAATCGGCTCGGTGGTCCACTACGTTACCCGCATACTATACTGTTTTGGTTGCGTTGTAAACAGGTATGTACAAAAATTAAATTAATTATAGTTCCGTTCCGTTCCACGACAGTTAAATATAACCAAAAATAATAATTAACTTAAACAACTGCTAGATGGCACAAAAACATAAACAGATCCATGATATATAATTACTGTACTTTTCCACTGTTTTGACTAAAAAGTATTTTGCAGTCAGGGGACATCCACAAAAGTGGCGTGTCTTTCGAAGGCGGCAAACAAACTGTAAATTAACGCATTATATGCGGCATAAATGTTTTAAAATAGCAATTGGGTTGACAAATCTCAGACGTATGCGCTTTTGTACCAAGGCTACAGACATAACATTGCTGTTGAATGATGTGCTAGTTGTTCGTCTGGACGCCGCCGGTGTGCTGCTTGCTCTAAATCGTCCACAACCAAATGCTTAACATATTTCATTCAGTTTCTGGCTAGCGGAATGTCACTTAAATTTCCATTGTAGGTAATATGGAAGGGGCGTAGCCAAAGGAGGATATGTGGGGGGCGGGTTTGAATTGCATTCTGTAAATTTACTAAAATTAGTTAAATAAAATAATGTTGACGACTCTTAAAATTGGTTCATATTGAATGTTTCGATTCTAAGAATAATGCCTTTAATGGCCTAAGTGATCATTATTTCGATTTATTGTTAATTATTAGTAAATGCAACAGACTTTCAGACTTCATTGTAATAGCTTGACGATACTTCGATTCCGGAGTACTTATTTATAAGTCTGTAGAATACCTGTAAGTTTATATAAGGTGTTCATAGCTCAAGTTAGCTTACAAATAAAGTTCTATGAGTGCTTATAATAGAACAAATATAACTATAGTTGATCTATTCATTAATTGATCTTTCATGATATGATCTCAAAAGATTAAGGACAAGGTCACTTCAATTTTAATTAGAGATCCAAGGCAACAATTGATGGTACGGAAGAGAAGGGAATCTGCAAGTTACTCTAGATATTGTTTTTTGTTCAATGTTTCCATGCCGTCACCTTGGGATCAGATTAGCCCTTCGCAGCTTATAAATAGTTGACCTAAAATATATATATAAATATATTCTCACATAACAATAAAAAATTATGCAATCATACGAAATGAAAACTCAATTAATATCCCCTCCTTAAAACGCTAACGTATGTCTATGACAGACGGTATATGTTGTTGCATATTGCCCTGGCCGCAACAAATCTGTGTCTATGTTTTATAAAGCTTCCACATTGTGTGTAGAAGGAAACACTTTTATCACCTCTGCAGCATTTTTTTTATGTTCGTTGCAGAGCTGAGCTGACGCTTCTCCATAACAATAAATTTCATGCAACATGTAGCATGCAATGTTGTTGTATTGTTCCTCCATTTTCATGATTTTTTTTATTGTTAGTAAAATTTTCCGTCACCAAAATAGCATAAATTCTAACTTTCTCGATATTTTGTAATAAACCAGCGGCGCTTGCACGCACAAGCGCAAGTATTTCAATTTATGATAAGGAAACAAACAAAGCGAACAAAGAAAATCTCGGAACTTTTAAACGTAAAATAATTAGAAATGAGATAATTCTCGAAATCCCCATTAGTCGCAGCATTGTTTTTAAGTATCTAGGCAGACAACAGCTGATCGCTGGGAGCAACTGCAAGAATAAGCGCTGCAACCAACGCCCACACCAGCTGATAATTCTGTTCGAAATTTCCGATTGCTGCCGTTTTCTTTTTAATTTTTTCTAGGGCGTTTGTTGGAATAACAATCTCAGAAGTGTGTTTTGTTACTCACATATACAAATTACATATATATTTGCATATATGTATTTATACAAGTATGAAATGCATTTATGTTTAGACCATTTATTAAACTTAAATTTCCTATACAATGACTTACGATCTTCGAAAAAGATCCAAAATTAACAAAATGGCGTGATTTTGAAATAAAATTTCGTTTTTTTAAGTAAAAAATTGTCGTTTTTTTTAATGCCAAATTGACAATTTTCAATCAATCAAACAGATCGTAGGTCGTTGTATAGTAAATGTATGTTTTCAACAATGCTCAGTTTTAATTTGAAGTCGATCGGTTAAAATGTCGTACACAAATTGGTTGACAGATCGCGCTCATATTTGGCACAGTAATTATAGGCTGTTGCATTTTTCCACGCTTTGGAGCTGATCACTGTGATGCTTTGTTTCATCCATTGTCACATATCGACGCAAAATCTCGGGTTTATTACGCTTGAACATCTCCAAACAGTGTTCCGAATCTTGACAGTTTTTGCCCACAAAAGAACTCGCGCCGCACCCCCTTTGCACAGAGCTTTCTCATACCCAAATATTTGTGAATTATATAATGTACATATTTACTTGATAACTTTAGTGTGTGAGTGTCTGCTATCTCGAAAAACTTCACTTTATTTTCATCCAAAATTACTTTGTGGAATTTTTTGATGTTTTCGTCGGTAACAATCTCTTTTGGGCGTCCACTGCGTTCATCGCTTTCGTTGCTACTCCTACCTATCATGCATCGAATACAATTCGCTAACTTTATTGCTGCTGGTTTCGCAATTTCTATCGGAATCAGAAAATTCAAAAAGATTCATATTTTTTAATAATTTGTCTTGTAGTTAAACTTAAAAATTCCACAAAAAAAGTGTAAAATTTTACAAATTTTTTAAAAATAAAAAAAGTGGTTTTTGACCAAGAAATATTTACTTTATGTTATTTAGAAATATGTTCAAACTTGACTTTTCCTAGTTTTTTTAGTTTAAATAGAAGATAATTTAATACCAAAGATAATAAAAGTGGCCCCAAATTCTATACGAGTTTTAGTTTTTTTTCCTATCCTGCCCGCCAATTAAGAAAAATCGTAAAAATTAAGAACCGAGAAATCGTGCTCCAAAGTTTTCGCTTTCTGCCCAAGCGCTAAAATATCTGCTAGACACTCGGTCACTATTCCCTTCTAGCTTCGAAATTATTTCGAATTTCCATCTATAACTTTGGGGACATATTCTTAGATTATTTTTAAAGAGATTTAAGCAAAAAAGAAATCGATTTTTTGAAGCTTCTAAAGCAGGCTGCCCCCTTAATAAATGCATATGTGTATGTATATAGCATTGACATTGTGCTGCTTTACACGGTTTTGTTTGCATTAACGCGAATTCTCGCCTCTACATACACGCACACACGTACCTATGTACAACAATCAGTGCATATTATTCATTACAACAATATTTGATGCATTCCGACACTCATCTGTGTACATAAGTCACTTCACACGTTCGAACATTTTGTTGGTCTCACGTCTTTAAGATGCCACCAACGTTCTTTGCCAATTATTTTTGCAATTTTTTTACGCAAATTCATGGTATTCAAGTCTTCCTTGTGCCTCTACCGGATTATCGGTTAAAACCATATGCGATTATAATTCTTCATTGCCCGCCGCCACCGCACCGCTATACCGCTGTACCTCTCGTACACACATTTTATCGCAGCAATCGTGTTGTGTCACGCATACAGGCGTACAAAGTTAAAGCTTTAAAGCCGTTTCTTTGTGCGATCACGATGGAAAAGAACCTGTAAAACTCCTTTCACTTTGCATTCCTATCCATTCGACATTCTTCTTCAATTACGACTCGCATTCTAACGCGCCCCGTTGTCCGCACACAATCTACCGTTCACTTGTGTTTGCGCCAATCTTTCACTTCCAGCTGTTGGGCGCAATGGGTGTACATTTGTGTGTGTGCGTGTGTGTGTGTGTGTTTGGCGAGTGCGTCGTCACTCAGCGAAATTGTTTGTTCTGGCATCGTAAAAGCGCCTACTCGAAGTCATTTTGGCCAAAAGCCAAATGAGTCGTAAACCACTGTTCAAGCCAACTCGCTATCGCCGCAGCGACAAACAAGTCAAAGAACGTCTTCGACTTCTTGTTACCACTATCGATGTGTGCTTGTTGTTGTTGCAGCCAGTTTGTTGAAGTTAGCGCGCCGGCTGGTTACCACATCTGCATGCTAATTTCACATTCGACGCAATCGCGTATTTCATTGTAATGCGTCGCCATTATTAGGTGTAGTGAATGTTGAGGAATGCACGCAGACATAACTGGTTGCAAACACACATATACAGACACCGACATACATATGTACATATATCTATTGCTCGGCATTTGTAAGTTTTAGCTAAGTGCTTTAGCTTCGTCTTAACAATTAAACTGGTTGCGCAATCGTATTACGGCTAAAGTTAAAAACAACAAAAAGAAAATTGTAAAACAAGAACAAATTACTTTAGGTCACTGCAGCGCAGAATGTCGCTGAATTTTAATTTTCATATCAATAAATAATTGAGGTGAATTCAGTGGAAATAATAAGGAAAACCGCTAACTTGAGTCGCATACATACATACATGCAAACACGAATTCATACAACTACACTTGCGTTTGTATATAAATGCACGCGTGACTGCAGCCCTGGTATGTCTCAAGTGCTGATTCAGCAATGAAAAATAATTTAAATATATTTTTTTTGCTTCTTTGTGTGATAAGAAATAAATTTAAGTAATATAAAGACAAAACAAGAAAATACGTTAATCTCGGCCATAAGTGGAATAACTTTCACAATTGCATTTTTTATAGCATAAAAGGTTATACGAAAATTTTTATTCTGATTTTAATCGGTCAGTTGAATGCCAGCTATATGCTATGGTTGCCCGATCTGAACGATATTTTCGCAGATTGCAGCGCTGCCTTGAACATTAATTTCTACGAAATTTCGTAATGATACTTTGTCAAATAAAAGAGTTTTCCATACAAGGACTTGAGTTCGATCGGTCATTTCTTATAGCCTCGATATGCTATAGTGACTCGATCTAAAAAATTTCTTCGGAGATTGTAGCAATGCCTTAAAATATAATAGTCAATACCAAATTTCTTGAAGATATCTCATTAAATGAAAAAGCTTTGCACACAAGCACTTGATTTCGATCGTTACTGCCAAGTTTGCAACAGCGCGCCAGTTGTTCTTAAT